CTTTACAGCGATATGAACTGATGTTCAAAAAGTTATAAGGGATCCCAGACCTTAGAGCTGAAGCTGAATACCTGATGGGCACACTCCTTTTTCTCCCATTGCGTGGTGAGATGCAATGATAATGCCAGGGAAGCAGCTGGTAAGGTTTTGCCTGTGAATAAGTTTCCAGTGCAAATATTCCCATCCTCTTTCAAATGTATAAGCAATACTAGAGGCAAGGGGGACATATTTTCCTGCAGGGGAGGAGATGACTCCATGAGGCCCATCAGTGGTCAGCAGGGTTACTGCCTTTCGGCACCATGGTAGCAACAGCAGCATGTGGAGAAGGAAGCCTTTGCCCCTCTGACAGGTGTTACATTTTCAGCCCTGTGGTGATCTCTGGAGCAATGTTTCCCAGCCTTATTTTTCAGCTTCTCCCCACCTTATTCCCTTGAGGTCCATGGGAGTCTTTGTGGCCCTGTAGTTCGGTGCCCTCTGGATTTACTGGGAGTCAAAGCAATCACCATGCATGTCTGCTGTGACACTGGTGACGGGGTGGGTCAGGTTTCCTGCTGGGTGACTGAGCACAGATGAGCTCCTCGCTTGATGATGTTGGGTATCATTCTCATCCCCCTCTCTCTCTATTACCTCTTTACTATCTGTCTGTTAAATATGCTATGCAAGGAAGAGGTATGTTTGTGGGTAAAGGTCATTAAACGTGCATTTTCTCATACTATGTGACTGTAATGGAATTTACTATGGATGGCATGGTGTATGATTTTTGTATAACTCTCTATTTTCAGGTAATTCTGCCATTTATACTCTTCTTTAAAAAGACTTGATTGTGTACTGAATGTGATGTATTAATTCCTGAGATGGACAGAGTCACTACCCCATACCTAATGTTCCCTGTAGCCAAACCAAACACCAGTCCCAATGTCCTATTACCTGATTATATATGAGGGAAAATCATTTGGTTTGGATTTGGGGTTTTTTTGGGGGGAGGGTGGGGGGGTGGTGGTGGTGTTACATTTTAGGTAGGAAGCATGAATACATATGCAAGGAGTTGTGATATGTGATTTCCAGTCAGTATTCCATATTGTAGGAAAATGCTTTGTAAAAAATTAATAATAGGATGCATGGGGGTTTTTTAATAGCTAAATCTCTCTTCCATCTTTAACGAGAATATGCCTTAATTTATTTTAAACTGAGGCTAAATACTCTTCCAAAACCATGTAAGTTTAGCCTTAAGTATAAAACATCTCTGTATATCTGGTTGTTGATAACTCTTCCTGTCCTGAAGGCCCTGGTCTGCCTGGTACCACTTTGATAAGTACCTAATGTTTATTCTGACTTCCATTGCTCAAATTGATCAAGCCCTTCCCATGACTACCTCCCTACTCCTTTTCCCAAGTTGGTTTCATGGCTAAATTTCAGGAAAGATCATTATTTCTTTACAGATGTTAACTAACTTTACATTCCTCTTGCCAAATGACACCACGCTTCTGACTCTGTTCGAACTGCAGTTTTCTGACTCTTACTCAGTTTTTTTATGATTTTTTTAACTTGCTGCTATTTAATGCTTAAAACTAAGGCTATCTTTCTGCATCCCTGATTATTTCCTTTTTCTTGATATTCCTAATTTATAACATTATTTTCTCAGGCAGATATTTTGAATCATCTTCATTTATTCTTCCATTTTTTTCTCTCAGAATAGTATTCTTAGTATTTCTAAATCAGTCAAAACTCATGCATGAGTTTTTGCTTCATTAGAATTCCTGTTCATGTCTAACCAGTCACATTTGTAATTCTTTATTTCATATAAGCCTCACACCTTCATTGCCTAAATGTGAGGGTTGGAGTCAGGTACCATACTCCCATTATGGGTTGTGGACACATGCTACCTGTGACCTCCCCTTAGTTCTCAGTCTAATTCAGGATTATCTTTGTTTTCTAACCTTTGGTGCCTCTCCCCTTCCTTCCTTGTGCCTGCATCTCTCCCAAGATCAGTTTTGCCTTCGAGCTGCTGCCTTTCCTTCTTCCTTTACTGTTTTGTTTCCTTCTCATCTAATTTTCCATGATGAGGAGCAAGAGATAGCATTTATTCTTTCTCTTGAGGTGAATTAGAGATGGTGGTTAACATCCCTTCTCTCCCTAGATCATGTCATTCGCTCTTTATTATCAATTTAAAACCTTCTTTTCCTTTTTAGGGTATGATTCAGCTCTCTACAGTAATTATTTATTATTATCTGTAATATAATGCTGCCTAAAAGCTCCAAAAGAAGTCAAGGGCCCAATGTGCAAATACATAGTAAGAGACAGTCCCTGCCTTGGAAACCTTATACTCTAAATAGGAGAGGGGAATTGAGAGTGGCAGAAGAAATAGGCAAAGAGAGAGGTGATTTACTTGTAACATGTGGCATATTAGAAGCCAGAAATGGAGTCCAGTCCTCTTGACTCCCAAGGCAGTAATATCTCCTGCGAGTCTTGCTGCCAGTTTCCCAGGAAGGGTCAGCTGTAAGTCTACATGAAGCCTTTATAAATCTCTATAATCTAGTATATAATTTAAACAAAAATTCTACAGTGAGTTACAGCCCCAAAGAAACAAAGAAGCAGATCTTTTATTTGCACCATTATTATCTTGCTGGGTTAGGACCTCTTTTTCTATGTATTTTTCTGTGTTTTTCTAATTTTAACTCGTTCTGAATTCATTATTTGCTAAAATTAATATAAACATCCAAGGGTTACATCTGTAATTCCTGATTATATTTAATTCAGAAAATATAAACTGAGGAATTATCAACTTCTTCATGAAAATGGTTCCTTTATTTTAGGATTTGAACCTACGTCAGCTCCAGCTCCCTCGGTCCCTGCGTGGCAGGGTCGATCGATTGGTACGACCAAGCTCAGGCTGGTGGAGTTTTCGGCTTTCCTTGAACAGCAGAGGGATCCTGAATCAGTAAGTGTTGCCCTCATGTCTGCTAATCTTCAGCTTTTCTCTGTTGCTCCCCACCCTCTGAGGATGCTTTCCAGGGCTGAGCTTGATGGAATACACCTGGTGTTTCTGCATTTGCTATTGTTCAGTGTAATATTTCTTTCACTGTAGTACTGTATTTTCCTTTCTTGCCCTCTTTTTCCCCATTTGCAGAAGTAAGAGGCCTCTCTGAAAGCAGGTGTGGTTCGCTATGGCACCTGTCTCATTGTTGATCTAGTTTAGCAGTTATACCAAATTGCATCATGTTTTTGGCAATAATTCAGTACTTAAAGCCTAGTCTATTTCCTAACAGGAACAAAATTAAGGACTTTCATAAAAACTATGCATTTTGTTTTAAACATCTGATATTTGGGATAGCCTCCAAGTATCAGGATTGTCTCTTTTGCTTCCAGCCTCCCAAGCATGTGCCATTTAACTGCATCACTTTGGGTTTTTTTTAATTGAGGTTACCTATCTAAATGTCCAATCATTCAGTCTTCCTTGATCTTTAATTGTGTCTTGGGTCCAATGCCAGGTTTGGATTTTTGGGGGATTTTTTTTTTTCAGGAAGGTTTTGGTTTTGTTTTGATTTTTAGGCTGTATGCTATATCTGCAAGGGTAGTTTATGAAGTTGGGTGTAATGTTTCATTTACTCCAGTTAGCCTCGAACCTCGATATTAATCATCATCTATTTACCATGAACATTTGTTGGTAGCCTAGCACTGTTTCTACAGCATTGCAAATAATTCAAAAGAGCTTCTTTCAGCTCGAACCTGAGAATTTTTACTGAGATAATTTCTGAAAAGCAAATACTGTTATGAATGGGTGATATAGATGGGCCATTCTTGTTCAGATTCCTGATAAAATACAGTAGCTTGGAGCAGAGAGAAGCTATCACTTGCTCTTTATAATTCAGCACTGGAAACCATAGCATTTACGGGCTCTGGCCAGGGGTGTTATCCAGGGAGTGTTTACCCTGCATAATGGAGGTTGGAGACGTAGCCCAGAAACCTTACAACAGAGGAATGCTCCTGGTGGAGAAACATCCCAATGAAAACATACCGTATCTTAGCTATTCATATACTAAATATGTGGCAGTGTGTTGGTTTGCTAAATGTCACATTTTGCCAGGTTGAATTAACTTTCAGGGAGGAAATATTTGGTAGCAGGTAGAGTTATCTCAGCACTTACCTGACTGTTAGCTACTGAATGGTTTCCCTGGGACCCCTCTGCCTTCCTGTAGCCCTGATTCCCACACTCTCCCAGAAATCCTGGATCTGGTAGGCTAAAGTTTCACCTTAATGTCCTCCAGACTAATCCGCAGCTGCAACACCTTCTCCATCCCCAGCCCCCAGTACATCCAGACGGTGGTTTGTATTTCCGATGCAGAAGCACAACATCCATGTTTTCTCACCAGGCAGCCTTATTGATACGCAGCTTTCAGAGTCCTTGGCTTGCTGACCCCATGTAAAGTGTCCCGCTGATTTATGGGCTCTACCATATCCAGATTGCTGCACACCAGGATGTTATGTGTGTGCCTCCAGGTTATCGGGAAAACAGGATGTGGCCATGTAATGCTCAGTGTTACTGTGCTCTATGTGAATGAAATGGCATTTCAGTTTATTTTGATTTACTGTTTTGTCAGTATACCGCCTAATAATCCTTTTTCCATAGTTTTTTTTTTTTAACATAAAACTATTTGCAAAACCTTACGCTTATATGGTGTAGAGCCTCTGTGTATCTGCATGGCTTTACGTAAAAAAGAGTGAATGAGAGTTTAGCAACTAACAAACTTTTATGTCTTTCCCTCTAAGAAAAAACCTCCCTCAAACCAAGTACCCTCTTAACAGATAACATGTGGTTGCCCATCACACTACTGGTGTCTGCAACATGAAACCAGCTGAGTGATGTGAATACATTTGCAACATGACTGAGAGACCAAAAATGGGAAGATGCTGCTTTGGCAGGGGAAGGAGCTCCACGGGTCCTGCTCCACTGTGGTGGTGCAGCTCAGAGCCGGTTGTGCCCACGCACAGTGTGGGGGCCAGCAGCTTGGGGACGTGTTGGGGCTCTGGTTTCTCAGGCAGGTGCAGGCTCTGGGGAATGCAACACATCCACTTGTATTGCAGAGGAAGAGTGGAGGCCCGAATAGAAACACAGTTACCCAGGATGGCCCCATAAATACTGTAAAGCCTTTTTTGGAGTAAACTAGTATTATCTGGAATTCCTGAGGGTACAGCGTGGCCCACCTGAGCTTGTCACAACTTGCAAGCACACTGCTGAGAAACCTACCTTTTAAATGCAGAGCATTTATGCAGAAGGTTTACTAGAGAAGAAAGAGCATCAAACTACCCAGACTTGTTTTTAAAAAAAATTCGCTCGTGTGCTGCAACATTGCAAAAATGAGACACGAAGAAAAGTCAATTCCCAGTCATGCATTAATCCCAATTTGGGTGACTCTTTACACCCATGCTGCAAAGCGCAGCAGGACAGCACTGTGCGAGGGCTGTGTGGGGACAGCCTGGGCTGGCCGGACCGGTGCCATGGGTTGCCAAGGGATGAGCCCCAGTGGATAGCATGCCACCACCGCTACCCAGGAAAGGGGAGGAGAAGGGGAAGCACTGTTTAGATCAAACTTAAGTAAATTTGATTATTTGGATCTTAAACAAGGGCATAGGGAAAAAAAAAACCCAAAGCAGTGTGACCAGTTCCCTTGGCAAGCACAGAAGGGCTCTTGCTGGAGAGGTACTGGGCACGCTGGTGCACGTCTGTCTGCAGGGACGGCTCTGAGGGGCCGTGGCTCCTGACAGCCTTCCCCGTCCCCAGTGCACAGACTTTTCCAGCAAGCACCAAAAGTCCTCCTTGGAGATGAGAGCCAACCCCCAGCCTCATTTAGTGCTGTTGAAGAAAATATGAATTCTGCCTGTGGTTTTGTACCTCTTTCTTCATGCTGGTGCAACATTTAATTGCAGATAGGGTTTGTGCAGCATAGAAAGGATGGGGGTTGATTACTTTTTAAATAACAAAATCAGCAAGCCAGGCAGGATTTGTGTTTTGCACAAG